ACAAGGTTTCAGTCAAAGTTGGCCAAGCTCATACTCACCTAGAGGATCAGCGGGGAAAATATGTGCTTGTAAATGCTTTCACCTTCTTGGCAGAACTCATTTCCTTATGGCTCTATGGCTGAGGGCCGTCTTCTTCCTGCCTTTTGACTAGAGGCTGTCCTCAGCTCCTAAAAGCAGCCTGTAGCACCTTGCCATGTGGACCCTTCCATCAACAGTCTGTCTGCTCTGCAAGGCCAGCAGGAGAATCTCACTCCAGTCTGCCAAGATGGAGTCTTACAGGAAGTCATATGCCTGGTGGAGTGGTATCCAACACCTTCACTGTGTCCTGTTGGTTAAAAGCAAGTCACAGGCCCCCCTACACTCATGGGGGTGGGACAGCACAAAGGTGAGGAATTGCTGGATGTCGACATAGGATCTGCTCACCACATTCTTCATCTGGGTTTGGTCCCAGTAGTTCCTCAAGCACACCTCTCTGCCTTACTGCCTTTTAATAACGCACCCTGGCTTCTCTGTCTCCGCCTCTGGATCTTCATGGCAGAGGCCTTGCCCTGTTCGTGTGTCTGTGTCCCTTTGCAGCTACTATGACACTTGGCACTTAGTTGGTCTCAGTGAACTTGTTAAAAATAGCTTTATTGAAGTATAATTGATAGTGAACTTTTTATAAATGAAGGAAGATATACATAAGGCTCCCATATTGCAAATTTACAAACATTTGCTAACTATTTTGAAAGGAATGGTCTAATTGATTAACATATTTGAGGTTGTACTGACTCTTCTTTCAAGACAACAACTAGGAAAATTAATTAGAAGATAAAATAATTGTATGATTGCTTCTAGAGTTGTGGAAATTTGATTTTTTTTTTTTTTGTGGTAGAACTTTGTAGCATTTTGTCTTATCTAACCAGAGGATTATTATTTTTTTCTTCCAGATGAGCAAGAGATAGTACAAAAACGTACTTTCACAAAATGGATCAACTCTCATCTGGCCAAGGTAAAGGAAACTACCCAGAGTCTTAAATTTACTCAGCTTGAGCCAATGAATCCTTAAATGAACAGTACAAAGAAATGCTGCTATGGCTACTGACATTTTTGCTAATGAACGATATTGGCAATCCTACCAATTTGGTGCTTGCTAACATACCCCTGAGAAAAAAATGGATGGATAGCTCACTCTAAGTCAGAATCGAGTCAAAATCGACTCTATGGCTGTGAATTTGGTTTTGTACTATATATATGTATATATGGGAGCTCTGGTAGCATAGTGGCTAAAGCACTTGACTGCTAACCAGAAAGCTGGCGGTTCAAACCCACCAGCCACTCCTCGGAAGGAAGGTTGGGCAATCCTACTTCCGTAGTGATACTGCCTCGGAAACCCAAGGAGGGGTCGCTATGAGTTGGGGCCGACTCGACGGCACATAACAACAACAACAACAACATATGTGTGTGTGTGTGTATATATATATATATATATATATATATATATATATATATATATATATATGTACATATATACACATACACACACATACATACATATATACACACATACATATATATATGTATATGTACATATAATGTATGTACATATAATGTATGTGTGTATGCACTACATACATACACACATAGAGAGCACTCACAGTGCAATGTTCAAGCACTGACAAAAGATCAGCAACTCAAACCCCCCAGTAGATCTGCTGGAGAAAAGACCTGGTTATTTGAACCCATAAAGATTATAGTCTAGAAAACCCTATGGGGTGGTTCTACTCTGTCCTACAGGGTGGCTATGAATTGGAATCAACTCATAGACACACAACAACATATATATTATTGTACTGAGCTTTCATATAACAAATATATATACACATTTTAATATATACTAAGAACTCTTGAGAATCCTCATTTCCTTGTAGCATTAAAACATTCTTTTAAATTTTAAAAAGTATTTTCTGATTTGGAAGAAATATCAGTTCATCTTTTTGATATTTCCTTTTCCAAAAAATATAGGCTGAGTATCTTATGAGAGCTTCTTAAGTAGCACTCTTAGGACAGAGTTATGTAAGAGTTTATGCACTGAGTATTTAAAAAGAAGGGCACATCAGAATGTATGTAATAGCATACAGTGTACACTGGGTCTTTGTGGAGGGAATATATGGCAAGAGTTTATTTTCAAAGTAATTTTTCTTAATTCTTCCAATTTGCTTTACACATTCATGTGTTAGCTAGTTATTGTGGTAATTGGAAGTAGGTTTTACAATATGTATCCTTTCTGATCTTTTTCCAAGGCTACCATTACATCATTCTTGCTATTTCCTGTCAAACATCCAAGCCCTACTTTTCATGTGTAGTGTAAGCACTTCTCCCTCATTAAGGCATTTCTAACCACATGGGATATAGTTCGATAATTTCCACATTCTCTGGGATTTCCTTTCTTTGGAACGCATACAATAGACCAGGAGGCTGTCGTTCTAACAGAACAAGGGGACATTGCATGGTTTAAAATCAAGAAGGGAGTGTGTCAGGGTTGTATCCTTTTACCATACTTATTCATTCTTTATGCTGAGCAAATAATCTGAGAAGGTAGGCCATATGAAGAAGAATGTGGCATCAGGATTGGAGGAAGAATCATTAACAACCTGCAATACACTGACAACACAACTTTGCTTGCTGAAAGCGAGGATGATTTGAAGCACTTACAGAGGAAGATTGAAGACTACAGTGTGCAGTATGGATTACATCTCAATACAAAGAAAACAAAAATCCTCACAACTGGACCTAATAAGCAGCATCACGATAAATGGAGAGAAGATTGAAGTTGTCAAAGACTTCACATTGCTTGGTTCTACAATCATCGCCAATGGAAGCAGCAGGCAGGACATCAAATGATGTATAGCACTGGGCAAATTGGCTGCAAAGGACCTCTTTCAAGTGCTGAAGGGCAAAGATGTCTCCTTGAGGACTAAGGTGCACCTGATACAAGCCATGGTATTTTCAGTTGCCTCATATGCATGTGAGAGCTGGACAATGAATGAAGAAGACCAAAGAAAAGTTGATGCTTTTGAGTTGTGGTGCTGGCAAAGAATGCTGAAAGTACCATGGACTGCTAAAAGAAGTAACAAGTCTGTCCTGGAAGAAGTGCAGCTGGGATGCTCCTTCGAGGTGAGAATGGCCAGACTTTGTCTCACCTACTTTGGGGTCATGTTGTCAGAAGGGACCATTCTCTGGAGAAGGATGTCATGCTTGGTAAGATGGAGGGTTGATGAAAGAGGGGAAGGCCCTCAACAAGATGGATTGACACAGTGGCTGTGACCATGGGCTCAAGTAGAGCAGGGACAGTGGAGCTGGTGCAGGACCAGGTGGTGTTTCGTTCTGCTGTGCATAGGGTTGCTATGAGTTGGAGATGACTCGACAGCACCTAGCAAGAAAAACAACAACAGCCACAACCACATGTGAAAGACCATGTCTCTCCCGGAGCCAGTGCTGCAGGACTGGTGGTATTTTTCCCTGCACTCCTCCTACAGCTCCGCCTTCCTTCTCTGGCTTTCCTGCTGCCTCTAGTGGTATGTTGTTGTTGTTGTTATGTGCCGTTGAGTCAGACCCAACTTGGGTTTCTGAGACGGTATCACTACGGAAGTAGATTGCCCAACCTTCCTTCCAAAGAGTGGTTGTTGGGTTTGAATGGCCAGCCTTCTGGTTAGCAGTCAAGTGTCTTAGGCATTACACTACAGAGAATCCAAAATCCAGGCACTTCTTCCAAACCTGTAGGAGTGATGGTGAAGTTCAGCAAGTCTGAAATTATCTTGTCCTGTTTCATAGGTCACCTTCACAAGGACATTGTGAACCTTTGAAGGTGAATGTTAATTCTTGGAATTTCTTTGTAAACTCTATTAGTTCCACATACAATGCTGAATACTGTATAGAGGTTCTTAGTGAAACAGCAACTGCAGTCTTCATCTTTTATTATTTATGTTTAAATAGTAAAGACATCATATTGGTGGCAACAATTTAAATAATGATGAAGTGCCTAACACAAAAACTTCCTACGCCTCATAATTGGTACTGCTGACATTTCAATTTAGACTTGAATCCAAAGGTCAGGAGTTTTACCCAACTTTGCAATATTTTGCATAGTTTGCATGGTAACATTTTGAAAGGTCCAGAAAAGTATTACCTCTGCAGCTTCAGACCCTCTTAATGATCAAAACATCTTTTTGTTCTTCTTCTTTTTTCCTCCTCTATACTTGTGATTTTTTTCCCCCTTGGGTCATTTTGAAAAGTGAAGACTGAAAGAGAAAAATAATTGCTGTGCTTGTTGTCTTGAACTTATTTATACCTATGTTCTAGTATCTTGCCAGACTTACACAAAATGCACAAATGTATTGGAGTACATTTTTCTTTTTGGACTTACTTATATTAAGAAAGCATTCTGAAATTCAATATAACCCCATTACCCCACTTTAGTGATTGGCAGAGTTTTAGGATAGCAGTAGAGTTGATGTTGATGTCTACACTTGTCTGAGAGCTGGTCACAAAATTGCCCACTCAGCTCTCTCTCTTCTTCATCCTGTGGGTGTCTTCATCTCCATTTGAGTGTCAGTTTCTAACCTTATCTCTGTATCATTCTCCCTCCTATCCCAGTAGCTTCTCCAGCTCTGTGTCTCTCCATCCCATCTCCTCATCCTCTGCACCTTCATCTTCATCCAGCCCCTCTCATTCTGTCTCAATCTCCCCATCCCTGTCTTTATCCCCATCCCTGTTTCTATTTATATCATTATCCTATCCTTATAAAAACACATGCATTCTGTCCCAGGCTTCCCAGTCTCCCTGTTCTTATTGAGGTCAGTCTTACATGTGCACCCAAATTCAAATGGAAGCACCACAGACTTCTCTCCCTGTTTCAGAGCACTCACTTCTGAGAAGTCTGCCAGTAATACCTCATTTGCACCAGAAAGAAAACCAATTTTTGGTCCTTGCTCTAGCTTCTGGGCTACGACAATGGTGCCACTTTTCCTGCTGCCTCGGTGAGAAGGTTTGCTCTCAAAGCTGCTACATTCTGGAGTGCTAGAATGATGCCTCCAGACTCAGAAGACTGCAAAGAAAAGTCTAATAATCTGCTTCTTAAAATTAGTGAATAAAAACTTATGGATCACAACAGAACATTGTCTAATTCACTTGATTTAGGCACATCATCAGGAGAACATCATGTTTGGTGAAGTAGAGGGCCATTGAGGGTGAGACGACCCTTGGTGAGATGGATTAGCACAATACCAACCATGATGGACTTGAACATGCAGTGATCATGAGGATGATGCAGGACTGAGTGAGATTGGGTCACCATGGGTGGGTGGTCATGGGTGGGAGCTATTGATGGAAGCTTTCATCTGTATAGAATGATGCGTGGTCTCATCACTTCAGCACTTCATGGACATGGTCAGCTGGAGTGCACACACTCACTCCCTGGTCAGCTGGGCTCCACAGAAGTGCATGTCATTTCCAGGGTCTCATAACACATAGATATCTCCACCCCCAGGCAATAGTGGGCTTTCAGTCATAGAGAAGGCCCAATGCCAACTTGAAATAAAATAAATCTCATTAGAAATAATTTCACAGAAAAGCAACTTGACTTGTCTTGTGGACTTTCATTATCCTCTAGAGCTTCTTGAAGGTCATTGCTCTTTTTTCTTCTTGCTTATTAAATAACCAAGGCAGGTGGTTTGTCCTATAGCAAAGGAATACCCTGCCCCAAAGATGGATCCACAATTCCCGTCAGCTTTGAAAAGTCCTGATGTTTTGTAATCTGTTTGATTTGGTGAGGTTAGGTTTGGTTTGTTGTTCATGTGTTTGTTTGCTCTACTATGTCAGGTAAATACTCAATGAATTTGGGCCCCAACTTCAGTGGGAAGTCTGACTTGAAATAGTTGAGAATTTCTTCCATGCCCATGACATAGGGATGAGAACTCAGCCCTGGGATGATGATGGTAATGACTCTGTCAC